CGCTAACGGAGAGGTTTCCAGCGCTTAGATCCACCGGATCTAAGCACTGGGAACTCGGGAGGCCCTTGGGCAAGTGTTTGGCCACATTGGCTAGCCAACCCAGGTCCATCACTGGGTTGCACAGGGATGCACACCCTCAGCCCCCCATGCCCATCACTGGGTTTCAAACATAGATGCATGTAAAATAGCAAATGAAATGTACAAAATGGAACAAACGTTCGGGGAACCTCATTATACATTTTTAAGGTGTGGGTGTGGTCCGATGGTCTGATGATCCGAAGATCCGGTGGTCCGATGATCCGATGATCCGATGATCCGATGGTCCGAGGGTCCGATGGTCCGATGCGTCCGATGGTCCGATGATCCGATGGTCCGATGGTCCGATGCGTCCGATGATCCGATGATCCGAGTCCGAGGATCCGATGATCCGATGGTCCGATGATCCGATGGTCCGATGGTCCGATGGTCTGATGATCCGATGATCCGATGGTCCGATGGTCTGATGGTCCGATGATCCGATGGTCCGATGGTCCGATGATCCGATGGTCCGACGGTCTGATGATCCGATGGTCCGAAGATCCGGTGGTCCGATGATCCGATGGTCCGATGGTCCGATGATCCGATGGTCCGATGATCCGATGGTCCGATGGTCCGTGGATAGTGGTAACCACTAAGATGGCACATGTCTGGTGATGAGAGAAAAGGGGAGACTTATTATATGATCGTGGGGCTGCCTGATCCAATGGCCCGATGATATATATCCGATGATCCGATGGTCCGATGATCCGATGGTCCCATGATCCGATGGTCGGATGGTCTGATGATCCGATGGTCCGAAGATCCGGTGGTCCGATGGTCCGATGGCCCGATGGTCCGATGATCCGATGGTCCGATGATCCGATGGTCCGATGGTCCGATGGTCCGATGATCCGTGGATAGTGGTAACCACTAAGATGGCACATGTCAGGTGATGAGAGGGGGAGGGAAGACTTATATATATATTATATATATATGATCGTGGGGCTGCCTGATCCAATGGCCCGATGATATCCAATGATATCCGATACAAGAGGGACAGTAGAGGACAAGAGAAGTGACAAAGGAACAAGGAAGAGGAAAGCAAGAGAGGGGAAGGGTATATAAGAGGAAGATAAGAGGAAGGACAGGTGGGAGAGCTGGGATGATAGTGGTACCACTAAGATGGCACATGCCAGGGTGACGAGAGGGGAAACTGATAGGTGAGAAGGAGTACAGTAAATCAGCAGAGGAAAGAAAAAATACCAGGGAGGGGAGGGGGTTCTGAATTGAACGATCAATTCTAGTTGAATTGAGCAAAACAACTCAAGGTATCCCCTGAAGGGCTGGCACTAGGGCTGGCTACCTTTCGTGATCAGGTGGTTGATTGTTTAGTGTTGGGTGGAACCTGTACGATGGCACATGCACCCAGGTGGCTGGTTGAACATGTGGTAGTTGACTTTTTAAGCATACATGTGCAAATAATATCAAATAGTGTTCATGCTTGGGCTTGATGAGAAATCATCCAAGCGACATTGGAAACCGGGTCTAGGCGGAAGTCCTCGCCCTCTCCACCTGCTCGGTCCAGCTTCTTCTTCTTGCATGGGGCTTTGGTCCCAGATGCCTTCAGCAAAGCACGCTTCCCACGCAAAATGCTTGGTGTAATGGCTTCCTGACCTGTCCGTTTCTTGTTCCGGAAGGCGTGCTTGCTGCCATGATAGTATTGCCGCCAAGTCTGGTCGAAGTTCCTGCAGCAGCATTTTAGATTTCAATATGGCACACAAGGTTGGGAGAAATGGTTCAGATCACCTACAGTAATATATATGTATACGCACCTTCCACGGAGCCACTAAGATGGCACACAGCTAAAACAACAAACATGTTGTAAAAACAAAAGATGTAATCTAACATTTCAATCGAGGTTCAAAACCATTCGCCGATCAATGTTGTGTTCCAACAGTAGATTCCTGACTTTGCATCTCGCGTGCTGCATTCTGGGATCTGTGTAAGCAAGGTAATTGCCAGCTGTGTTTGTTCGCCGTCTTGAATGTTGGTACCAGTGCAAAAGTCTGCGTGCGCTAGCTTTGTGAGGTGCCCATTTTGCAAAAGAACGGGGAACTTTCTTGATGTTGCTCTTCAATCTTCGCACCTCTTGTGCTATCTTCCTCATGGAGGGCTTTTCTTCGTCAGGCCCCACTTGGACACACCTCTTGAAATCGGCCCAAGCTTCCTGGTTTCTTTCCCGGATCTGTGCAACCAAAGCCTCAGAGTTCTCATTGTACTTGTCCATGGCTTTCCTCAAACTCCTGTTCACCATTGTATAATCTTGGCAGGCGTCTGCTCTCTTTGTTGCATCTGTCAGCCCCATGGTTGCCTCTGACACCGCCTTGTTCACCATATCGGCGATCGGCCTGGGGACCCCTGCGATGGTGTCACGGGCTCTGAGCGGCGCGTCCAGTTTGTGCTCCTCGATCCAAAAATTTGGCACTTGTCTCATGGTCTGCGCAAGCTCCTTGGGCATGAGCCACAATTTGTATTTCAAGTACTTGGCCTTCCATTTGCTGAGGACATTCGAGTGTAGGATCTTGGGGAACTTGGCACGGCACATCTTTTGACTGGCCGCACCAGTCTCCAAGCTCATAGCATACTCCACAACCTCTATGAGATCTGAAAGTAGAGGAGAGTCGCGAGGCTGCCGCTTGTTCACGTTACGATCTTGTGGTTGGTCTAGTTCAAATGGGACCACCGCATCCCCAACCTCATCTTCCACTGGGTCAAGTTTCAACTTCTTCCGCTTCCTTTGAGGAGTTGGCACTGTAGCCACGGCCACCTCTTTTCCATCGGGTACTTCCGCTATTGTTGCCAGCTTCTCGATGGCAGATGTCATCCTCATGCTGGAACGCTCCATCAGCCATGGTTGGCGCTGGCGGGGATCCTTCACACCCGCTTTGTCCTGGAGCATCTGCAAGCGACCAACATCCGCTGTTACCTCACGCCCACTCAGACTACAAACACCGGTGGCAACTATCAGAAAAGGGTAGTTGGACTACCACTACTAGCGCAACTAAGATGGCACACTCAGGTGGCAAGTGTCACAAGGGTCACAGTATTTGGACTACTGGAAGATGACCACTAACACAGTATGATGGCACATGCAGTTGGTAAACAATTGAACCCACCAAGCCAGAGTGCTTGGCTGAGCTTCCCAAGCAGCTTTGCAGCGAAAGCAATGACTTCTCCCGGGCGATCTGCTTCAAGATCTTGGAACCGCAAGCGGTCAAGGAAGACGTCCAAGTCATCATAGTCCTTGCCCAAATCAGAGAGCCACTTGATGAACTGCTGACCTGCCTCGCCCAAGTAAAGAGTTGGCAAGGCTTCCTCTGTCCGCAACCGCACCTGGCTTAATACTGTGCTTGATCTGAAGCCCCGCAAACTATCAGCACACCTGCCCCATGTCTCTTGAGTGACCTGTGCGTAATCCAGTGGGAGGCTGGCCAACACACCCCTGATGACAGGATCTGCCCTGGAGCATTTCTTGAATGAAAAGGTGTCTTCCTCACTGAGTGGCCCACTCTCCAAAGAAGCTCGCTTCTCTAGGATATCAATGCACACCTGAACATGATCTGGTCGCTTGATTGGAGGCAGCTCCTCAACGGCAAGCTTAGTCTGATTGTCCAAATCTAATCTCACCTTCTGCGCAGCTGATACAGCAGAAGCTTTCAAAGCTTCCTCAATCCCCCGGTCAAACGACAACTGAAGGATACGGTCTCGAACAAACCAAAGCCCTTTTTGCAATGTGGCATAAGGGCCTTTTTGCACGAGGGCGAGTATGCCATGGACTGGTTTGATTCCAAGGGCTTCTTCTTCGTGGGCTAGCTGGAAAGCCTGAACCTCCAAGTCACGCGTGACCACGCCAATGAAGGCCTCTTCACAGGCTTTGCTGCAAGAGAGGAGAAACTCATAATCGTCCTGGTTCAATGCCCGTCCGAAGATAAACCTGGCCAGGATGCCAACTGCAGTTGGCCAATATCAGTTTAAAAGACCTTGTGGAAACATATCACACACATATATATATATATTTCTATATATACATATGTGCACCCCCTAAGATGGCACACGTACTCCCCAGAAACTGAAACATGCTTGCGTTGCCCAAAGCGCCTTGCCTTCCTATGATTCGAGAAGACCCGTGTAGTGCCAACCATTCAGAATGTTCCATGGAGTTTTTGGCCTCATCCACAGCAAGATCAGGCACAAAAAGGCTTTGTACCATCCAGCGTCCCTTGTGCTTGCTTTTTGACAGATATGTGCCCAAAGCATCTCCATGAAGGATAGAACCCGTTTCAATCATCACGTTGGCAGCCTCCACGAATTTGACAACTGCAATGCGTGGAACAAGAACCTTTGCACTGGGAGGAATTTCCTGTGTGCTGCTGGAGGTCACTGCCAAGGCATCAGTTGTTGGGCCGTCGTCCTTGAACATGGAAGTGGTCACATCCTTCATCAACAAGTTTTTCTCTGTCTGCTTTCCTGCTGCAGGCAGATCAAGCAACTTGGAGATTTTGCTCTGAGATCCATCTGGCGCACACTGCTTAGAGCCCGCTTGCACAGTTTCGGGCTGCTTAGAAATACCAGGTGCCTGCTTGGGAGGTGCATTTCCTGACAGCATAGACTCCCACTTGTGCACCGCAATGCTTTCTTTGCGGTCAGCCATTATGCTCCGGGACAATTTGGGCAAACCGGCTTCTGTCATGTACACCGTACACTCTTTCCCAGTCCACGTGGAAACTTCTAGGCGACAGTTCTCCAGGGACTTTGCACTTGCTACAGCATCTTCTAAAGCAGAAGCTGGGGTTGCACCGGTCTTGGCCCCGAATGAAAATGTTTTCAGACCATCCACGTTCCAGAGCTTTCTCCGCTTGTCCAATTTGATACCCTTCTCCTTGGCCATGGACACCTGCTCTTCCGTCACCAATTCTTCACCATGTGCCTAGACATAGAAAGTCTGGAGAATGAAAGCCCACCACAGAAAGATCTCCGATACATTCAAAAGTCTTCATCCCTAAGATGGCACACCATGGCAAACCCAGCCCATAGATGTATATATATATATAAGTTTGACCACTTAAAGCCCATAGATATACTACCACTTAAAGCTGATCTAGAACTGCACACACACGCATACATATACCCCTATATACATATATAAATGCCTTGCCACCGTGTTGTACGGTTGGGAAAAAGGGTTGAGAACCTACCACAGAAAAAACCACCAAGTGATGGCTCTAGAATTATATAAAGGATGTGTTTGTCTGCAAGCTACAGGGAAACAACACAGAGATGGCACACAGCCCCGATTCAAAGAGCCTGATGATGTGACAGTTGTTCAACTGTCTTCTTGGGATTGGCTGGCTTTCCTGCTCCTTCCTGCCAGGCGTTGTTAGGCCACCCAAAATCAAATGCTTAGGCGTGTAAGTCTGCATAATGGCGTCCATAAACACAAAACACAAAAGGACCTCTCAGATCGTCCAAAGGACTCCATATATCTACTCGTAGATGAACCCCTAAGATGGCACACCAGT